GCGCACTGCCGCGGCTGTGCGTTGGTCAGAGGGCTGTCATCTCGCTGTCCCTTCGGTGGTTAACGCTTTCTTGTTCTTGTCCATCTCTCCTCTCTGGGCATGCAAATTTGACAAATTTAACCCATGGACGAAATCAAATCATAGAATAAACTGCCGTGAAACTATTTCACGCGGCTGATTTTTTGTGTGACGCCCGACACGAAGGTGCCATACTACATTGTGCAATGCCTCACAGATAGGCGCTACACGCCTGGCCAGCGTTGCATCCCAGACTGTCTAAAAATTACTAAGTCAATTTGCAGAGCCTAAGAGCTAGGCGCTGCACCGTATAGTGTGGCGCCTAGCTCTCAGACGCTGCACTAGTGGTTGCACTATAAAATGAAGCAACCGCTAGTGCAACGCACACTGACTTGGTAATTTTCGGATCACATGGGTGCGACGCTGGCCAGTCATGTAGCGGCTATCTATGAGGCGTTGCACGGTGTAGTGTAACGTCTACGTGTCGGACGTCACACAAAAAGTCAGCCACGTGAAATAGTTTCATGGGCAGTTCATTCTGTGATTTGATTTCATTCATAGATTAAATTTGTCAATTTTGCCCTCTGGGCATCAGTTCTCAGAGCTAGCTAGTCTACGCAAATGGCTAAGAAGTCCCATATGGCTAACAGTCACCTTTGCTACTTTGGTGTTCTTCCGAAGCTCTCATAGTCATAGGTGACTGGCCTGTACACCGGCCGCTGGGCCTCGATCGAGCACTGCTGCAAATGCAGAAATCAAGGGAATAGAGTAGGCACACATACGTACTGTCAAACAAAATGTCGACTGTTAAGGTAGTCTGTACGCTGTGCATTCAGTTTTACGTATCCACTTCATCAAAGCTTAGCCGAGGATTATCCACCGCACCGAAGGTTCTGCCATGTATACAATATAAGACTTGGTGTTTTGCTGCCAGCTGAACACAAGCTAGGCATTTTTTGTCAAAGAAGTGTTACTATGATCCTTCAGTTATCATGTAGACTAAAGTAACAAGAACATATAGGACGAGATCAATCACTTGCGACGCATTGTAAATCACATGCATGCAAAATCTCCTCCTATGGTGAAGATCAAAGTCATGAGCCCATTATGTCCTTTATCGTAAAATATGAGCACATTGATTTTTCTTGGCAAGTGTTTTCCGCATAAAAAACAGTGTATTTGTTTACTTATCCCGTTTGTTGATTTTTAACATGTCCGCTTAATACTTTCTCCATTTTTATATACAAGGCCACAAACCCATATTACAGGTACTAAGATAAAATTAATGACTACTTAAACCAATGTTGCAAACTAGTCTTTTCTTCTTGCTTGACGTGTTAATTAATATGTATTTTTTTCTCCAACGCACAACACGACAACTCTCTCACACCTCGTTGGTTGATTAATACGGTGCATGCAAATCAATCTTCTCACTCCTGCATGCATGCATGAGGTATTAATGTCTTCGGTTGCTAGTACGAGGCAAACCTCATCAATTTTACATCGGTTTGTGTTAGTGACCTTGTATAGCTGCAAATTGTAGTTTTGATAGTGACCTTGTATATAAAAATGGAGGGAGTAAAAATGATAGACTATTCATATCAACAAGGCTTTTCTTCTTTTCCGGGAGCCCGTTCACAAGGCGCCTGAAAGTAAAACGTGTTTGGCTGAAGCGATTTGAGGATGGGTGACCGACTCGGAAATTGATCCCGGGTGCTCACGCCTCACGCGTATCATAAAGTGCGCAGGAAAGACTAGTGTTGATCTATACAAAACCAGTCTAGAACCCGTGAGGCATAACGACCGGGAGCCGATGGTTTTGAATAGGGAGTTACATAACAATATTTGATTCATATGCTTATCTAATAGTTATTGTTATTGACTTACCGCACTTGTCAATTATAGTGAACTCAATTAGTTAGTTAGCCTTTATTTTTAAAATACAGATTTGTGTATTCTTTGACGTTTACATTCGACTGCTTTAGTAAATTCTGAAATGGAAAGTACTCGTTCAATTACAAAAATAGAAGGAAAAGGTAACTATATTTCTGATCAAAGTTTAAAACCTTGACTATCAATGTATGTGGAAGGACATGGATTATATGCATGTAACAACAATACATTGTATTTGTTTGAAAATGGTTTGCATCTCATGTTCTTTATAGGTATATATATAAGTGAAAACTATAGTCGAAATAATGCATTAGGGACTCTAAAAAGTCAAGTGTGCCTAATATATATTTTGGACATATGGAGTATAGCGGTATGAGTAAAACATGACCAATTTAACATGTTCTAATATATGAGTAACAAGAGTTTATATGAGTTGCACACATACATTAAAAAAATATTGTTTGTAAGGAACGCATCCCAGTTGCTCCCCAAAAGTGAAGTGAGCTGGTTAGAGAAAGAATATCCTCCCGAGATATGAAAGATAATATTGCGACATTTCCTTGTTTTCCATTAAATCATCTGTATAATGTATGAACTTAATTGAGGGGCATGAAGAAAAAAACAAATAAGTTTGAACTTTGCAGTTAAACCTACAAATGAAATTTTTTCACGAGAAGCGAAAACTTGCATATTTGCTATCAATGCATATGATATATGGGCGAATGTATGTACTCCCTCTGTCCCAAATTAGTTGTCTTGAATTTGTCTAGATATGGATGTTTCAAATCTAAGACAATTAGTTGTCTTAGATTTGTCTAGATACGAATGTATCAAATTGAAGATAACTAATTCAGGACCGAGGTAATATCATACACTCCCTCCGATCCATAATAAGTGTCACAACTTTGAACTAAGGTTGAACTAACTTTAGTTCAAAACCGCGACACTTATTTTGGATAGGAGGGAGATGGTACAATTAAATATGCGATAGTATGATATGCTTTTTTTACAGTACTTAATATCATGTTAATGGAACATGCATGTTGCAGTTGATCATTTGAACTCATGTAGAACGAAAAAGCTCTCTGTAACTTTCATCTAGAAGAGTTATAAGTATACAGGCACATAATATGATAAAGATATGCCATGCCATTATACATGCTGGACTATAACGCCATGTTACCCACTATATATCATCAATTAAGTGCAAACAACAAAATTGTTATTTCCGCGTTTACCTCATATTGTATATATATATGGGCATTAAATTCTAGATCAAAACTAAATGACATCTTATTGCTATTAAATATTCCATCCAAAATTTTGCTATATATTCTTGCAAAATGAATTTTATTATGAAAACTAGTTAAGTACACTTTGCTGGTGTTACAACACTACTACATAAAGATTAAGCATCACAGTCATTTTTAGTTAGGAGATTGTTGGACAGCCAATGTTTCCAATTTTAGAACAAGTACTTGACTGGATCTGGTGGATAAATCTAGGCAAGATTATACTTCAGAAATTTATATCGAACTAAAATAAAAAAATATACACTGTCTTGAATACTGGCTAGTACATGGACATACCCACAATGCCTCCACCCTAAATATGTTTTTGTATAAGATAGATGTAAACATATTTTAAGGGTGCGATTGACAAGAGCCGGACTCAAAATGCTCAATTGGGCGTGAAGGGCTAACATTATCAATCTTGTCTAAAAGCATAATATTATCAATCTCGTCTGAAACTAATATGATATATGTCACTGTGGAACTTACAAGTCTTATTTTTCATCAACAAATGCTTAAACATGCATAATACTATTATGTTGTTAGTCTCAGTCATTTTATGCAGTTTCTAGGTGAAATAAATAGATATGTATGTATGATTTCACGTTTCTCATGAAATCAAAATGGCAACCATGAAACATAGCATATATAACTTAGTGGGTTACCTATAATTTCTAATACTCTACGATGAGTCGATGATATAACTAATTTTAATTTAATTGAGCTGAGTTGTATACATAATCATAAAAAGTATGGAAGGTGAAGCTACTTTCTAGAACATTCCAGACTAACCGTGATGCGCTTAAATTACACTGGGTAACACGTACCTTTTTTGAGCGGGGCCGTGTAACAAGTACTGCACATCCTAATCTAGTATAGAAAATTTAAGTATTTGAGCATGCGCACCAGAACAAATTAAACCAGTTTATTTATGACCAAAAAAACGAGTTTATGGATATGTATGCTTGTATCTTAGCATAGGTTCATAACTAAAAATATGATGTGGCACCCAATTTCATGAGGAAAGAGAAAGCAAACCATATCTTAATCCCGAATTCCAGATGTAGATCTTAGCACCAAATTCAAAATATCTCATAAATTTTCTCTCACAAAAGACACTAGATAAGGGTGTTGTTTTAGATATGTATAACACTAAAACGATATAGTGCACTAGGAGAGCTTAATGTCATTATATATGGTGCACTATATATCTCATTAAACATCTACTTCCTCCGTTCACAAATATAAGATGTTCTAACTTTTTCTGAATCAGGTGTATATATAGACACGTTTTAGTGCGTTTGTTCACTCATTTTAGTCTGTATGTACTCCATATGAAAATATCCAAAACATATTATATTTGTGAACGGAGGGAATGTTTATGAATGCCAGTAATTAGATATAGTGCATCTTATGATTAACGGTTTGATCGATAAGTGTGTATTTGGTATAAGACTGCCCTAATGTACCCAAAAAACTCTTATGGCAACAAAAATTGTAATTATGATTAAGCGTTTGACTAATAAGTGTGCATTTTGTTTCATTTTTTACAGATATATATGATTTAGAAGCCCAATGATACCATGCCTGACAAAATTTTGTTTTGATCATGCATGTGACCATATAATGTGGCAGAACAGTCATCCTAGCTACTACATGTCACTCAAGATAAGAAATATATATTTATATATTTGTCCGGAAGCATGCATGGTTAAATTAGATCAACAATCTTATTAATTAATCGCATGGTGCAGTGTGCAAGTTTTGGAAGGCCTTGGGACAAGTACTTGAAAGATCTCACTCCAATGTCTTGATCGACATGGTCAGATCCAAAGTACTCAGCCCCAGAGCGGCCTTCTTGCTGCTGCTACCTGTCGCTACCTCTAACCTCCTGCCATCCCGGCCACCACCGTCGTCGTCGTCGACGACGCCACCATGTAATGACAGCGAGAGAGAGAGTGGCACCTTGTCGCTGCTCACCTCCTGCCCAGCGCTGTTCCTCTTCTTGCCCCTTCCTGCAGTGTCTGCCGCCGCGTTGGGGCTCAGGCTTAGCTGCAACTCCGGCGCCCACCCGTTCTCCTCCGCCGCAGCCGATGCCTTCGTTTTCCTCGCGTCTGCTCCGATGCTCGTCTCCTCAGTAGCTTTGGCTGGAGTCCTCGGCACTCCCTGCTTCGGCAGCTGCATATGCACAGAGGCAACCATTATATTAGTTGTTAATATTTTGAGACATATTAAGCTGCGACTTATTTACAAGTGAATGTATCAATTCGAAGCAAAATGTGTAAACAATGATGCGTACCAAGAGCGGGGAACCTGCTTCACATGTCACCACGGGATCTGAAGATGACGTTGTTCTGCCAGTGTTGCCGTTGGGGTGGCAGCCATTGCTGCCGGCGGCACCTCGCCACCTAAATGGGAGCTGAGCGTGGCCGCCCTGCTCCAAACCAGTAGCCGACATTGTCTTCGAGAGCGGCCGAGAGCTGCTGCCGATCCAATTCATGCTTCCCATCTTTGCGCCATCTGGCCTACGGTCGGCTTGGCTCGTGGTTGTTGTTGTTGTTGACGGCGACGTCGTCCCGCTGGAGGCGGCGGCGTCCCTCACGTCGAACAAATGCGACGTCGGCTTGCCGTCCTTCCTGAAGATCATCTCGTGGATTAGCCCTTTCCCCGGACCATTGTCATTAACCGCGCGTGCCCTCGCCGCCGCCGCGTGCTGGGTGAACGCCCATTCTTGATTCCTAGACGCAAGCATGTATCGATTAGGGTTTCGGCATGATCATCCCCAGCAGGACCGTTTATCAGTACACATGCATGTAGGATGCTGTGGCCTGCTTTTAGTACCTAAGGCTCGTGCTGTTCTTGAAGTCGAAGGTTTGTAATGGAGGCTGCCGGCATTGGAGGAGCCCGTAAATCCGGCTAGCATCCGGGAAGCCGGCATTCCTCGGCGTGAAGACCCCACCGTCGTTGAACCTGGAGGTGAGCGTCGAGCCGGCAGCTCGCTGCTGGAAGAACATGTCGTGGAACGGATGGTCCCCTCTCCTCATGTGGAAATTCATGGGCGAAAAGACTGTCCAAATTAATAGGAAAAAAGGTCATGAAAATGAATTCCTAGTGCAAAAATAGTGAGAAATCCAGCATCCAGCGTGATTGTATAGATCAATAACCTGAGGACATGGCCGCCCTCTCGTGGCTGGACTCGTGCTCTATCTTTTTGCTTCTGTACATCTGAAAAGTCGATGGGATGAACAAGAAAAGGGTTAGGTCCAACGCTTGCCGTGTGAAGGAAAGAAGCAAGTAGCTAGAAGAACAGCTACCGAGCAGTCATGAGAAGTAGGCTGTTCCTTTTTCTGCCTTTACCTGCAAGTGACTTTTCACATGAGCAATGTTGAGCCCCCTCACATTCATCATCTGAAGCACCAGCTTTGGCGTTGCTCCTGTCCAAAAATTAGCACAAATAAAAGTTTAGATCACGAATCAAGGGCGGGGGAATTAATTACGACGAAAAAAAAATGCACAGCAAAAGAAATATTGGGGTGGGTTACTTACTCTCTTGGCCGCCCAGCCGCTCGACGGCATGGAGGAACGCCATGTGGAGGTCCGGCGTCCAGCGGAGCCGGGGGTGCTTCGACCGGTTGTACTGCCGCACCGTGGGCACCCTCTCGCCGCTGCCCTCGGCCTTGTCATGACGACCCCTGCTGCTTTCTGATTCATGGTTGGTGCTGTTGTTGTTGCTTGAGCTCCTGCCTCCTCCAGCAACCTCGCTTGTGCTACCGCCATCGTCGTCGTAGTTCTCGTCGCCGTCTCTCCCGTCGTCGCTTGCCTCGCTGAAGCCTTCGTTGAGGTCCAGCCCCGCGGGTGGTAGGGTGTCATCGGAAGATCCCTTCCGATGGTCCTCAAGGATCTCCGCCAGCGCCTCCTTCTCCTTCACCTCCCCCATGCCCGGGCCTCCTGGCCTCCACCGCTTGTCCTTGACCTCGTCTGCCTCTCTACATGCAGTCTATGTGACGCACCATGTTAGGATTGGAATGATATGGGGGCAGGAAGAAGAGAGGACTGTGATGGGAATAATTAGTAGGGGAGATGGGAGGAAGCAGCTAGCATAAGCAAGCCAGTGATGTAGTAGCTAGGAATTAAAATAGGGGAGGGAATGGACAAGTAGTAATTCCACCACATTGACTAGTTTTCAAGACTGGTATTCCGTCCCATCCCTTTTTCTATAGTCTCATGGAATTGGGGAGTATACTACACTCTTGTTATTTTGTGATGGCCGTTGGGGGTTATATAATTGGAGTGGGGAGGGGGACTGATGATTATCAATCCATTGGCTCATGACTGGGTTGTGTGGGAAATGAAGCAAAAGGGGAACGTTGACACTTGCCACTAGGCTCTTGTAGGGACAACAACTGCTGCTCCCCATTTTTTGTTTGTCACATTCTTAGTTGTGTGCCTAGTACATCGTATAAGCGTGACAATTCTTTCCATGTACATATACTTGAGTTTTTTTAATACAGTACAAACACAGGCGCTCAAAATATACACGCATACACTCATTCTTATGAACACACATACGCACACCCTACACTTATGAGCACATCCAAGAGACTGGACCGGCATATCATCTTGAGATTGACGAACTCACCAAAGGCGCCTCGTAGTCGATGGAAACGTCTCCTCCCATTGAACGCGCATAGCCGAAAATTTTAAAATAAATTCAGGAATAGATGCGACCACGAAGACTTGAACCCTGGTGGGCTGGGAATACCATTGTCCACCTAACAATCCAATCACAGGTTGGTCCACAATACATATACTCGTTGAGGACGATAATGAGTTATTTTGAAGAGTACAAACTTCACAGGACATTACCTGTCCTCCCGCCATTTGTAGTTGTGACACCCCCTCCCCCCACACCCACCAGCCGGTGATTGTTCAAGCAAGTTTTAAAAATAAAAGAGAGACCTTCCAATGAACGGAGAAATAACTATACCTAATTTTACGTAGCCAAGGTTTCCTTCTTTTCGAAAATGTAAAAAAAAAAACAGTTCTCATGATATCCCGTGCATGCCCCATCCGTCCATTTGGTTGCAGATTCCCACGCATGTATGCATGTTTTTTGTGGGAGAACTGCATGCTCCACCCACCCCATCTCCCATACTTTTCATTTCATCATTAAGTTCGAATTTATTATATATGTTGAAAAGAAAGTATAAATTAAGCTTCGTTTGCATATTTGTGTTCGTTGCGACGCGAACTTTCGAACAAGGCCACCCTTGAATACATCTTGGCAACTTCCAAAACTTTAGTAAGTTTCAAATATTTAAATTTGGTAGTTATAATATTATTTTTTTACCAAGTTTCATTAGTTTTTATTAGGGTTTAGCGGTTAGGTCTTAGGGATTAGGGTTTTAAGTTTTAGTATTAAAAACTTGGTGATTTTATCCTTCATCATATCATGTGTCAATAGATGAAACTTGGTGAAGTTTTTAAATCTTACCAAAGTATATTCAAGAGTGATCTTGTTTGTAAGCCCTCACCTAAAGGAACACAAATATGGAAACGAAACATAAATTGGACTTTTGGTTCAATAGGTACAACAATTTTAAATTTGAAAGCTAAAAATAAAAACCATGGGTGATTGGATGGTTTGGAGCATGCGGTTTGTGCCAAAAGTTGCATGTACGGCCCCACCCAAAGTAATCAAAGGGCGAATCCATGCACGAGACCTCCTGTGCACACTACAAAATCAATTCTCTAAAGTGTGGCACAATATTACACTTGTTGTGTTTCCCTTGTGTTGTGAAGGCACATTACATATTGTAACTCAGATTTGGAGTGAAATACATTGGTATGCAAAACATACACCATTATTGAAAGGCTTATACGTTCAACACGAGTTATCTTAGATGGTTCATCAAATCAGTCTTTAGTAAGATAGAAAGCCGTATGTGTGCACCTATTTATCACACATTTCTCTCCAAGGGAATCATATCAGTATTTCTTCTTTGGAGCCGATGGCTTTTACAAAGCAACTAACTTTTATCAAGGTGTACCTTTTGTGAATGCGAACGATCTTTTTTCTTTGGCTCAACCTAGATCCACTAGAACCCTACAACTTCTGAGGATTGAAAACTGACCTCACTTCTCTTTCCTCCTTCCCCTTCTCTCCTCTACCCTACCCCCCTCTAACCCAATGATGTCAACCCAATGGTGTCCCATACTCCTCACTGGCTTTGTCTCGACACCCTGTGCAAGGGGATAAAAGGACTCAACTACCACAAACCGCATCACAAAAGGAGATAGAAGGTTGACATCACCATGTTAGGGGATGGCCAGTGCGCAACCACCTCAACAGTCACTATGAGTAGGAGAAAACCACTGGTGCCACCTCTATAGGAAAGGGTGTCAATGGTGTCGTTTTTTTCACCTATGGAGAGGAGTTGGACTCCACCACCTTTGCTATGGTCACCTCGAGGATGATAGACTCCATCATATTATTCAATCACATGAAGGTAGGAAAATCCCGTCGTTGCCCGCTCTGCCACCACCGCCCAAGGGAGGATATTGTTGCTAATGTTCGGTCGAGGAGGAAGAGAAGGACGCCACCACCTACTACTCCAAATGTTTCTATACGCCCGGTCTCTACCATCATATCAATGAAAAGAACTCCCATCTTCTTGCACAAGCGTGCTGAGAAAAAAACTATTCAGAAGGGTTGGTGGAACCAAATAATCAAGCATGTTTTGATTCTTGACTCTATAACTTATTAGCTTGCTGACTTGGACGTACTAGGGGCATAAAATCAAACCAAGCTAAGTAATGAAGAAACAGACATCCTATCATATATACCTAAGAGATGATCGCCCCTAGTTCTATTTATGTCAACATGAAACTATGCCACCTCAACTTGCAACCATGCACGAGAAAAGGGCCACCTCAACATGCTATAATGCACGGGACGAGATCCACAACATGCAACCATGGATGTGAAAACTATTACAATACTTATATTCCCTAAACATTTTACATAATACAACAATCAAATATTCATGTTTCAACTTCATCGAAATATAAAGCAACGAATTCCCGCAACAATTTGTGGGTATCATCTAGTTTACTTTAGGGTATGAGCTCAACTGCATTTTCCCATCCCTTCAGTTCAAATAATCAACATTCGTATATGTATTCCCCGTGATAGTCATATCTTTGCCACACTCTTTGGCCATTTTCTTTTACTTATGGCCCATAGAGTATTTTGTATGTTACTAATTGTACTAATTTTCTACATAGCATAAGATGGCAAGAGAAATATTTCCATTTTATATATTTTTATATAGGGTTTGAATCGTGTATTTTTCCATTGCATTAGACTAACATTAGTGTATGGAGTGTGGACTAACATGTTTATATCTTGAGTAACCTGTTTAAAACCATCATATGTGAAATTTGTGTAAGCGCAACTACAATGATCTATTGGTAAGTTTGTAGAAATATCTATCTGTTATGAATTGTTTAACACATGTGATTTTTTTAGGTATGAGTATGTAGATCTAAAGTATGTGATTTGTTTTAGGTGTGCTAAGTATGGGCATAATGGACTTTTCTTTGAGCTATATATTTTGTTTCATATTTCCCTTACATATTTAGGTGACGCCAGCCGGAACTTCACAAGTCAATTGTTCCCGGCAAGGTACAGATTAAGCGCTAGCACAAATAGCAATAGTATTTTAAGTACGACCAGTTCAGCAAAAAGATCTGGGCCGATCAAATCGAATGAAACTGGAGTTTGACTGAGGTGGATCTACAGACTTCATTAATACAAGTTGATTGCTTAGGTACGTACGGCGGCCCCATGATGTTGAGCTGATGGGCTCTGTTGACTGATGTCGAAAGTTGCAAAATTTTCTATGTGGGTACATACTTGGTCTCTCTCTCGGTCATTCATAGGACACGTCAGTCTTGAGGGTGTGCGAATGGTACGTTTGTTATTCCATATAGGTTGTTTGTTAAGTAAATACCAGCACAAACCTGTTCCTTTCAGTAGGTAGAATCTTTATGGCTTGCCGCCCAGAAATTCCCCCAATCGAAATGCGCCGTGTCTTTAGGACATTTGCACATGTTGACTACATATGTATTTAACAAAAATGTTTACTGATGAACTACAGAATGTAGACTCTAGTAACTAATTCAAAGAGATTAATCTACATATATATTATATCTAATGCAGGGTCAGAAGCATAAGCAAGAGAAAAATTCTTGATTACATGCACGGGTGCCTATATGTATTGTTGGTAGGAATACCTATGTGATTATTCTAATGCTTTCAACACATGCTATAAATTCTTAGGATTGGGCCTCCACGAGTAGATAATAGGATCTATGTATGTACCACTTAACGCATGTCGTTATGATATTTTTAACACCACTACCCTAAGAAATAATGATTTTTTGTAAAATTAAGTTGCATGCATAATTAAATTCAGAGCTGGGATGCTCCTTCCTTGATACAATACATCTGCAAAGCATTTGAGCACCTATATTCTCAGGAGAAATAAGAATGTAAACCTTGTCGCAATTTATTATGGTTCTAATACTCATATACATATTAAAGACACTTGTCAGTGGTAATGACTGTACCAAGTAATAACATATAATTAGGCTAATTAATCATTTTTGTTTGGCGAGGGAGGGCCAATGCTTGATCAAAATATAGTACTGAAAAACCCATGTGCCTTGGCATTCTAGACAACTAAAGTATATCTAGAAACACTATATAGAAGTTTGTTTGTATATCCTTCAATTGAATAATTAAACTTTAAAACCACAGATTTACAACAAACATTAGACATGTGCACTCGAACTATTTTATAGGAGCATTTCAGATATAAGCTCTACAGGGATCCACTTCAACTTTCTAGCATTTTGTTCAATAGTTTCTAC